TTTTACCATTGTTGACTGTACTGTACGTAGTTTATGTTGTAGTATTTTGTTTTGTTTTTTTTACTCGCTTTGTCCATAAAATTTGTGAATTTTTCCGTGGCAATAAAGTATATTTTGAGTTTGAGTTTGAATCTCGGACTCATCGAGCGTTCATAGTCGATAACCGAAAGAGCTGTATTGAATCGAATCAGTCAATTTCGTCTGTTTTGAACAAAACGTACAGATGTATAGATTTTCTCCGCCGAAATGGTCCTTTCTCAATTTAACCTAAAAACTACACTGATGACCTGATGATCTTGACCTGATAGAGTCAAACCTGCGGACTGACCGCGGATTTGGATTCAGCAGGTCAAAATACTGCAGGATTAAGTGTCTCGGTAAATAAAAAAAATGTTTGTTTATGTGGCTGTGTTATTTATTCCTATTTACAGTATTTGCGTACTCAATAGTCCGATCCAATACACTGTTTGCAAATTTCCGATAAAGTTTTTCTTGCGATTCCCGAAGAAGAATTCTTCAAAATATCTTTTCTACTCAGCCCAGACCTCCAGAAAAATTGCTCCAAGTTTGAATCACCCTGTATGCATAATCTGATTTACAAAATTTAACAGAAGAAAATAGTATTAAATATTGATTAATTTAATTAGTCGCCAAGGTTTGACTTAGTTTCTTTATTAGGTTTCAGGCCAACAGTTGGGTCGGAATTCCGATAAAGCAGATAGCTATCAGGTTAAAGGTACCATTCTTCTCATCAAGGGTGAACGATTGGTATACAAATCTTGTCCCGGCCCAGATTGTCAGAAGAAAGTTATTGATAACAGCAACGGCACTTATACGTGCCAAAGTTGCAACAAAAGTTTCAACAGTTTTAAGTTTAGAATCTTATGCAATGTAAGTGTGCATTGATGAGGTCTGGTGTTTTTATATATATTAGTAAAATTGTAAAAAAAATTTTAAACGTGATGTTTAGATGAATGTTTGCGATTGGAGCTCCAACCAGTGGATGACAGTATTCAACGATGAAGCTGAGAAAATCTTGGGGCTAACCGCACTTGAAGTTGGGCAACAGGCAGAAACTGATCCCGACGGATTAAATGACACGTTAGAAAAATGCATGTTTAAGGAATGCATTTTACGATGCAGAGTGAAAACGGAAACTTACAATGTAAGTACTCACCATGAGTTTATGTCCACCAATTAATTAGTAATATTGGATCTAGGATGAACAGCGTGTTAAGACCGTAGCGTTCAGAGCAGACCCAATAAATCATTCGGAATATAACGCTCACCTAGTCAATAATATCAAGAAACTGGCTAGGTTGTCTTAAATTAGTCATCCTCATTGCATTAGTTTGTAGACAAGTTAACGGTATTAGTTAATCTCGAAATGTATTTCTGTTCACTACCGGTTGAATGGTTATTAGTTTACTGTTTTGTTCACAAAATGAGAATTATCCGTTGTTTAATTGTATAGGAACTATAATAAGTTGCCAGATATTTCTGTAAACAGTTAGACAAACATGAAGAAATTATATGCCGATATGATATCCGCTAATGTTGTTAATAAAAATATTTCGTTTTCAGTTTTTTTTTATTTAAAATAGTACGTTCTCATCTTAAAATGCGAAATGGACAAAAATATTTATAATAGAAAGTAAAACAATATGCTTTTTGTGTTATTTGATGGAATTTTTCCATTCATATTTTTTTTAATTACTTTGATTTTGAAACTTAAATCACTCAAATTACTGTTTTCAATTACTTATATTTAAAACTGCAAAACCGTTTAAAGGAGTGGATAGTTTAACATCACATCCTGTCGTGCTAATTCGAGCAACATAGGATCATCAAAGAACTTATTAATAGAGACGTCTTGACTCAAACCTTTTCGCCGTCTAGTCTTAATCATGAATTCTCGCGCCAAGTGGGTGGCTGGTTGAGGTTCTAGAGGACGAATAATAATTGATTTGTCCAAAGGATCACCCGGAACAATCTAGAACAGCAAAACACAAATTGACTAAATTTTTACATTTTAAGTGAGAGCAATAGGCTGGTGCCAAAACGAATTTGAGACTCAAAAAATTCGAAAATAAATAACACAACAATTACTAGGTGGAAAATATTGCTGAGGTTTCAACTTAAAGGAAAAATACTTTTCAAAACATAAGCACTTGAAATCGTGAAATGGGGATGCAGTTTTGGGGTTGAAAACGGTTTTTATGAATTTCCGGCGAAACGTGAACTACTAGAAAACGTTCAATAGAAAAGTAGTAGATAATGATTGTAGATAATGAAAAAATATAAAACTGTTGTATTTAACACTTTTCACATAACATCAAAGTAACCGTAAAATGGCGAAACCCCGATTTTTCAGTATTAATTTTTTTTTCTAGCGGGTAAATGATATAATTTACATGAAAATTTGTAAAAGTAACTTTTGGTTTAAAATAAATATTTCATTGGTTTAAATAAGCATAATTTTTCGCAGTTTAGAAGACGACTAGTTTTCGAGTTATGTCCATTTATTTTTCACATATACACATATTTTTCTCCATCCATTTTCTTTGACGGTAAAAATTGTACAACTTTCATTTTCTTAATCATAAATCGATCCTCCTCATGTGCTAAAAAACGAGCCATTTTCCCAAAACAAGTAGTTTCGACTGCGATTTAACTGGTCTCTAGCTGGAACGCACGACCGAAACCGTTTATATACAAAGTACATTAAAGGAGTAATTTGCGATCAACCGCGAGTCAAGGTAGTTCAGATACAGAATGGCGCAAATTCGATACAGATATTGAGATAGCTGTTTTGTTAACAGTGCAATATACTGTATATTTAACTTTATAAAAACTTCAGATTACTGTTCCCATAATTAGTAAAAATTATTTCGATAGGTATCGTAAAAATAAACCGCTTCATTGCGAACATAAGAAAAGCTGGCAAAAATCAACAATATTCGGAACATCCTTACCTGCCAATGATGAAACACGGAGAGGCAAAAGGCCTGTCCTTGTGTGTGAGTTCTCAAGTCAGTTTCAAATCCGAAACTATCAATAGCCGGAATAAATGCTTTGATGGTATACAATGGGGATCCGGGCACTGGAGCATCTTGAGTCACATGACCACTGTGAAAGAATTTATTTTCGTCAACAACTGTATGCGGGTTCGCTTTAAAAATGATTAAGGCTTATGTACTTGGAGTGAACGGAAATTATATTTCATTGTTCAGCTTATTCTTAAAACTGCTATTAAGCGGTAACACACTTACCGCCTCTTTGCTAAGACTGTATATACAGCCGATACACAATCAGCTGGTGCCTGTACTTCAACAAATAAGTACGGTTCCATTAAGCGGGGCGTGGCCATCAAGAAGGCTGAATACACCACTCTTCTAGCTGTAGGAATGATTTGTCCACCGCCTGGAAATCCAATCAGCTCAATGTAACACTTGCCTAACAGAAAGAATGGCAATACCAACCTCTATGAAGGGGCTCTTGTGCTATGACAGCATCGAGAATTTTAAATTTGCTGTTTCTGATCGGTTCTTCACACAACGGCCCTTCTCGAGTTCCCCATTGGAAACCCTGAACAATTGAATCCTTAACTGAACTCAGCAGGCCTTTATCTACTTCGGAAGGAAGCGTGTCATCTACCAGAATGTTGGGACCTGTAAACAAATATATTTGGTTCCAAGACAAATTCATTTGACTCGCAATTTTATTTAGGCATTATACGTATAAATAACTAATACTTACCGGTGTTGTCTGGTCCGAACGCCCATATACTTCGAGCAGCAAGTAAATCCCAATCATATTTGGTCTGGAAGAATTCTCCCAACTTCTTTTTATTCCAGCCAATTTGGACACTCTCATTTTCAATGTCCTCTGCCAGACCCTTTTCTAGAGGTTCCGCAATCATGGTTAATTTATTTTTCTTATTTGGTGTTTCCGCAAAACACTTTAAACTGGACGTTTCAACAACTGTTTCGCAGAATGCTACTACTGGATCAGCCACTATAAAGATTAACTTTTAAGTTGATATCATAATTCCTTTAGGATGGTTTCTTGCTGGCCTTACCTTTTATGTCGATTTCGGAATACATTTTTCTTAAGTCGTGCATAACGCAGTCCAAATAAAGTTCACCAGTACCCAACACGACATGTTCCCCAGATTCTTCAACTCTCGTGGTTAATAAGGGATAGGACTTATTTACCTTTCTTAATCCGTCCAACATTTTTGGCAATTCGGAGGGATTTACAGGTTCGACTAAGGAATATTATAAAATAGTAGAACCAGCTTTAAATTAATAGGCATTAGATGTATTAAACATATATCGGAAACAACAATCGGAAAAGTGCGTTTTCAGCTAAAAATTGAGTCGATTTGTTTCCAATCGCGAAATGTTCATATGTTGTTGCATGTTTTCGGCGTGCATACTAAAGGCATCAATTCTCAATTATTTATGTTAACAGAAAATCATTACACAGATTGCTCTAAATTTACGGAAATTTTTGGTTTGGCAGACAAACAATACAGAGCTGTCCTTCAAATTTACGATTCATTTAATTTTCTTCTAATAACCAAATAGCTAGTCTAAAACTCATACAAGTATATGCAACCACAACCGACCACGAGGACAAAGAGTTGGAAATGCTATACAAAGATATCTAGGGCTATGCAGCAAGACAAAACCCAGTATATGATCCACATGGGAGACTTCAACTCAAAGCTTGGCTCCAAGATTGATGAAGCAGAAACTGCCCTGAAAACATTTGATTTCGGAGAGAGAAATCGTAGGGGGCATATGTTTCTCAGCTTTCTCCTTCAACAGAGACTGCACGCCAGGTCGTTTAAAAAAGGCTCACTTCGTAAATGAACCTGGTCAAGCCCAAATGGTACGACGAGGAACGAAATTGATTTTATTGTCACTGATGAAAAACATACCGTTCAGGACGTCACTGTATTAAACAAATTTGCGGCAGGTAGCGACCATATGCTGGTTAGAGCAAAAGTTAAAATAAACGTTCGGAACGAAAGAGCAAAGATGGTGTCAAAGATGGCAAAAAATGGATATCGATAGAGAATAAGGCGGCATATCAAGAGAAAATACCAACAAGGCTCAGACGCCTAGAACACCTGAGAAACGACGAAATAGATGTCGACGATCTAAGTCTGAAAATTAATAATATTATAAAGGAAACTGAGAGAAACCATTACGTAAGAGCGAGAAACAAAGAGGATAAACTGAGCCAGAGCACGAAGAATCTTATGAAGGTGAGAAGAGAAGTGGGGAATTGATACGAGGGAAATTGTGATGCATTTAGACAGTAACTAAACAAGGGTATTTCGAAGTCTGCCAGACAAGACGTCCAAAACTACAATAAAAAAAATGCATTGCTCAGGTAATTGAAGAAAATAGGAGCTTAAGAGTGCTGCGGAGCAACCTAACGGAAGGCAGGAAGAACAGAAGTAGGGTCAGGTACAAAAGAAGTAGGGTCGCTGATAGAAGCGGCAGTGTCCAGACAGGTASAGCGGAAGYTCTTAAAATTACTGAAGCATTCTACACAGARCTTTATAGAAAAACGGCGGAACTAGCAAATACAGGGCAAGTACCTAAGATTCAGAATGTTGGATCGGAGGATATCCCGGAAATTTCTATCGACAAAATATCCAATCGCTTTTGGAGATGAAAAATTACATATCTCCGGGAGATGACAATATAGTTATCGAGGCGATCAAAGAAGATTAAWGTATGCCTTCTTGAAGGCACAACACCTTCTCAGTGGCACAATGCACTACAAAAAGGGCGACATTACAGATCCAAAAAATGATCGGTCCATTTATAAGCTATTCACGAAAATAATAACAAAAAGACTTACAAACAAGCTCAACAACTGCCAACCACGAGAACAAGCTGGTTTCCGCCGTGGATACGGACCGAATGACCACTTACAGGTGATGAAAACCTTAATTGAGAACTGCATAGAGTACAATAAACCGCTCATCTCCATCTTTGTTGACTACGAAAAAGCATTTGATACTACTGACCAACATAAAATGCTCCAAGCCCTTTCTGATTGCCGAATAGACATTGTCTATTCGACCGATACACTGCTATAAATAAAAATATCTATGAAACCGCAACATCATATGTTAGGCTGCATGAAGATACAGGCAAGTTCAAAATCGAACGAGGAGTTCGCCAGGGTGACCGCATGTCACCAAAACGATTTACAAATTTACTGAAGTACATGCTGAAGGAGGATCTGATGAGGAGGAAGAGATGGCACGAAGAATCGGCTTAAGTTGGGCATCTTTTGGAAAGCCAACCAACATTTTAAAGTCGGACATTCTAACTTGTTTAAAGAGAAAGGTTTTTAACCAGTGTGTGCTTCCTGTGCTAACGTACGGAGCAGACACTTTAACACTAACAAAGAAAACCATAAATAAAATTCGCGTTGCACAGAGAGCAATGGAGAGAGCAATGCTGGGCATATCATTGAGAGACATAGTCTCTAATAACAGACTTTTCCAAATGTCTGGAATTACCGATGCAATCGAACTTATAACAACGTTAAAGTGGAACTGGGCTGGACACGTGGCGAGAATGACGGACGGGGGAGGGACAAGGCAAATTCTGGAATGGAGACCGCGACAAGAGGCCTTTCGGAACAGAGGTCGTCCACCAACAAGATGGAGCGACAACATGAAGAGAATAAAGCCGAGTTGGATGAATGCAGCAGAAGATCGAGGTCGTTGGCTTGGACTACGGGAGGCAGTGGACACAGCTGGGCTGATTGAGGATGATGATGATGATGATGGAGAAGGAGATAAATTGGATTGGCTTGGGAATTAATATAAAGGGAGAAACTTGACCCACATTAGGTTTGCAGTGATGTATTGATTTCGGATAGAATAGACAAAGCTACACAGATGCTGCAGGATCTAGATAAGCCGTACTAACGATCAGATCTTCAAAAACACAATACATGACAAATCTGGTGATGAGTGGTAATATTTTCTTGAGTGGGCACAAGGTACAACAACAACAAGTATCATTCTACAAATATCTTGGATATGAAATTCGTGTAGGTCGAGATAACCAAACTGTGGAGTTTCAGAGAAGAATAGGTCTAGATTGGGCAGCTTTTGGGAACCTGAAGGAGGTATTTAAATTGTGTTTGCACGAAAAAAAACATGACTAGAAGTGGCACAACGAGCTATGGAGAGCCATTTCGGGTATTTGGTTAAGAGATAGAATCCAGAACATCGAAATAAGAAGAACAGGTGTAGCGGATGTCTTCCGGGAAATAACAACATTAAAATGGAATTGGTCAGGACACCTTGCACTTGCAAGGACGACTGACGACAGATGAATCAAGAAACTCCTTGAGTGGATGCCGAGAGATGAGGTTCCATGTCCCACGCGACGGGGCTAATTGATGATGATGATCATGATGATGAATGCGGAACCTGTTTTATTTTTCTCAAAGAATTCAATTTTAGCAGGAAATGATTGCAAAGCTAGCTTTACATTTATGGAAAACTTAATTCCAACAGAAACATTTTGCGTAGAATACTTACTTGTGAAAAATTTAATTTTTTTTGATAGAAAAGTATAGCAGAAGTATCTTTAACTTTACGAAAAATTGTATTTCGGCATAAAAGCATTGTAACTAGCTTGAAATTCTCAAATCGTGCAAATATAAAACTTTAAAAGCTTTGAATTCACCAAGCGTTTTTCTTTGGCTAGAAAACGCGTATCGTGGGTTTAAAGCTAAAAGTGAAAAGTAAAACAAGCATATTTTCTAAATGAACGAAAATAAAAGTCTGCAGATGCTCTTAAACGTCTCAACTCGTGCAAATAGGCAGCTTTAGATGCTCGTATTGATAAACAATGACGAGGAAAGTAAGAAATATTAAAACATATATGATGATATAAGAAAATATTTCAGTATTTACGTGAACATGTGGCAAAATGGGCAATTGGGAAATGATAATTGTCTCACGGCAAATAGTGTGTCACAGTTTCAAACAGTTAGTAACGAGCTTACCTGCAATTTTTATAATACTCTGAGTATTAAACTTAAGTGGTCTAAAAATGTATAAATCATCATTTATTGATAGATCAGTAATGGTAGCTGTCTTGACGATGGATTGATCTATTCCTTCGATAAGTACCCAATTACCCGCAGGTACACGATTAAGTTCCACTTTATACCTAGAAACCATAAATTTAACAAATAATTACTTACTGAACTGAGAGGTAAAACTATATTTATTAATAAGGGAATATCCACGACTGTAAAATAAAGTTTTTAATGCGTTGAAGAATTGAATAAGTACATACCTGGACTCATAAACCCACAATCGGCCAATAGTTAATACTCTGGAATCTTCCTCGTCCTGCAAGGTGTAGTTTTCTCCTAATATTCGAAGATCAGTACCGGCATGTAGAGTACCGCTCATTACTCTACCCAAAACTTGAAAGAATGTGCAGTCTTCAGTTGGGTACATTTTAGAGCTATGAACCTGAATAAAACATAGAATAACCAGAAATTAAAAATTTACATTTCTGCAATTATCACTCAGTGAAATTTTGTAGCAATATAACAATAACAAATAATCTTTGATCACCATGCCGCCTTACAAATAGAACTTCCTGTTACAAATCCTGTTCCAAAACTTACCATTAAAAGTCCCTCTTGGTCGCAATGAATCATATCATCATATACTTTGCTTGAATGTGGGCCCGTGTAAATGTAATCGATTTTAGTTTTTGCATTGTCCAGCGGTGATTTGATATGTTCAACACACATATTCACAAACCCTATTGAAATATAAACATTGTTTACCCACTCGGAATACAACTGCAGAAATATAAGCAATAAACTTCCACTGAAATAAAAACATCTTGGACACAATGACAATTACCATTAAAATCTCCTAGAAACTTATTGCAAACAAGCCTGAGTAGCGGCCGAATATTCAACTTCATTTCATTTTTGGTGAGTTTAATTCCAAGTTCTTCCAGTACTTTTGGTAAAGTAGAATCAACATCTCCTACCACCTGAGCGAACACTTTGTAAAGTGGTTCTAATATAAATTCAACAAAACTCCTTTGCGCTGAATTATGGGGAGCTTTTTTCGTAAATTTTCGACTGCAAACATTACAGAAGTTAACTCAAATTGGTATTCCATAAGCAATGTGACTTACTTTTTGGGATTAAAGTAAATATCTCCCCATAACCTCTTGGAAAACTCGTCCACATTGACATCTCCATGATACAAGTTGTAAATATTGGCAAACGATTTCAACGTGAAACATACTCCGTATTGGGAACTAGCAAAACATACATTTCCTAACACTGGTGAAACAATTTGCGGATTCGCGTCATCGGAGTACAGCCTGTAAATTATAATTTGATAACGAATTTTAAAAAAATCACTTACAAGTGCACTTACGTCAGTAAGCCATTGATTTCTTCAACAATATGCCTCAGTTTATAATAAGCATCTTGAGGGGGTAATTTCAGTTCAAGCATTAGTCTGTCAATTTTGTTAATGCACACCGTAATTTGCATTTGTTCTTGTACGGCATGCTTTAATAAACGTTCTGTGTTCAACATCACACCCTCCGCGGCATCAATAAAAAGCACAATACCGTCACAGAGACGCATGGCCGCTGTTACTTCATCAGAAAAGTTCACATGACCTAAATATATATAAAATTGAAATTAAATCAGACCTTTATTGAATAATATTAACTCCACCTACCAGGAGTGTCAAAAATATTCATCAGGTAGCTCTTATTTTTAATATCTTGCAAAAGTAATGTTACAGGGACAGACTTGATTGAGCATCCACGTTCTTGTTCAGTAAAAAGAAGGTCCGTGTATCGCAGATTTTTCTCTTCATTATCTTGATAAGTAGGATGAGTTTGCCTAATGAGACAATCAACAAAAGTGGTTTTGCCATGGTGTAAGTGACCTACCAAAGCTACATTACGAATCAGCGACGTGTTATCCATCATGTCAGCCAGAAACCTAAAACCAAATTGAACACTGTCAGTATTTATCACTGTGTTATCTCGTTACTTACTCCATACTGTACGTGGTTTCCGGCAAATCTTGTTCTTTCAATTGAAACTTTTTCTTCTTAACGGGCTCTATTAGAGGGACATCTAACGGTTGAGCGTCCTCTTCCTGTACTATAGTTTCAACATCTGGCCCATACACTTGCAATGATGAAGGATAATATTGCTTATCCTCATGAAGCACAATTGCCATTGGCTGTGGTTCATCTTCCATGCGTTCATCCTAGTGAAAAATAGTACATTAACAATGGTGCTCAAAGGATGGGCATTGAAATCGAATTTAACTTGAAAATATGGACTAGCGTAACGCAGATGTGTGTTTCTTACATCATATTCCGGTTGTTCATCCTCATCTGGTTGCTCACGTTCTTCTTCTTCCTCATCATCACTATCTAATTCTGGGCCTACATAATTACCAAATTCATCGTATAAATCTGCGTCCATTTTTTCGGTATAAGTTTTCAAGTAAGATACGCTGGAATGACAAAAGTAGGTTAATTACTTTTTCCTAAGCATATCAATAGTTTCATTTCAAATGAAGTTTCATTCGTTCCAGTTCAGTTTCAAAAAGACGAAGGCACTTTACTTCACAAATGCAAAACATTATTCGCATTACAAGATATTTGGTCATTTCATTTGCTTGTAAAATATGGGTTATTAGCCTGATTTATTGGGAACATAGTCATACCCTGATAAATCGTCCGTATCCGATTGTTAGATTAAGTAACACCTGCAAATATGAATTTAATATGTATAAAAGCGTAAGTGAATTTAGCACTGCACTACTTATGTATTCGAGAGTATCTGCAGGATTTAGAATGTATTTTACATTATAATTGAATTGCTAAGAAAAGTTAGTTTTGAAAAGACTATTTAATGAAATTAAAACAATACTGTCATCATAGGTTGTCGTTTGTCTGGTTGGGCTTGTTGATTATAATTTGTTTGGCCTTTAATCCAAACTAGTCTATATTTGATATTCTTCCGTAACATTAGAAGCTCAGACTCTTAGAGTGAGGAACAAATTGACATTCGAGTCTGCTGCCCCCTAAAGAAAAAAGTCTCTACATCTAAAAGCGACACCCAAGGAAATTCTAACAGTAGACGGAGAGAGAATGATCAGCAAACTCACATTTTCCGATTGGAAACCACCCTTAGAAATCAATCCAGCATGAACAATGATCGATGAACCTCTTCGCTATCTGGTAGAACAGCAATCGCAGACATTTCTTTGCTTAAATTATTAACTATTCTGCTTTCAGTTTGAGACAGTTCCAGAAATTATGGAGGATTTTATAGAAAAAAGGGGATATGCTCTTATGCTTATTCTCAAATTAACGATCGCGGGGAATGAATAACGATGTTAAATCAACACTTCTATCAAAGTTTTACACAACAATTTCATTTCCGCCTAAGCAGTAAGCAAAGGACAGTGCTAAATCAAAGTAGAAAAAACAGCACGGAATAAATCTAAAAAATAAAGTTATGAAGAAACCACGCATAAATTCAGAACAGCGAATAACAGGAAAAAAAGGGGAATTCAAAATAAAAATGACCAGATGTAGAGAAGCAGTTTAAACATTTCAATTAATTTTGTGGTAGATGTAAACTCTACTAATAACTATTGCGTATAAAACGAGACTGATAAAAGAGGAGAACATACATTGCAGAGCGCAAGCAGAAGTACTAGTCATTGGGTAAATAGTTATGCGTATTTAATATTTGTGTTAGTTAAAAATATTTTTGATGTAAGTTGAAGCAATGCATAAGAAAGATCAAAACGACATTGTAAGTCTGTCTCAAACTACTAAAACGATATAATTAACTACAGCTGATAAATCAAAAATCACACATATCCACTACATCTTCAAAATATTTAAAACTAGTCCCAGCAATTTTTTTAATTGCGGTTTTAACAAAAAAAATAATTTGTTTAGCAACAAATTTTTGGCTGATTTCGTCTAAGCTGGCATTCTTGCATCCAAAGAAAATAGTGATAGGTACCTAGATGCCTACTTATTATGTTTGTTTCTGTATGATAAAAGGACATGCCAATAATTGTTTGATTTTTTCAGCTCGTAAAATTAATAAACCAAAAAGTTGAATGATTGATTTCCAAAAAATTTAAATAACTTCAGAAAACCTGTACTTAAAATTATTGTCTCGTCTGATTTGATTTACAGCCTGTATATTCAACTAACACTGAAAGATTTGTAAAAATCCTACATGTTTCTCCGAAACCCAGGCACAGCTTTCTCCCCTGTTGCTGTTGAATTGGTGGCTTGATAAAATAGTTTTAATACTGATATTCTACTTTCCATAAAAATAAAAACAAAGCCTTGAGATTTAGTCTAGCTTGACTATTTATCACGACCTATATACACAATATGTACTTTATATCTGCTAATTTTCTAGTGTTTTCGATGATGTGTTAGTAATTTGGGATTTACCCCTTTTCAAAAATGCGCGTGGATGTAACATAATAATCGCCCTGATGATATCTGGCCTTGATCTGGATTTGATAGTGTATAAACGACATTCTTTGTGTGTAAAGAGGTAAAAAAATTCTAGATTTAAAAAGTGTAAACGCAGGTTTAAAAAAACATTATATTAATATTCTATAAATATCAAAGAACCAATGAATAATTTGTTTACTATTTAGACAATGTGTGCTTATAATTATTTGAGATACTCTATTAATTCTAGTATATTCGAAAGTAATGTAGAAACACGACTTTAACGCGTATCACCCAAAATTAATTGAAGCTGGTAATTTATGAAATCGATCTGATTTATAACGAGAAGCTAGTTATGCAAACACGTAGAGAGTTCTATTTGCTAGTATTTCCAATATTATTAATACTTTATTCTTTCCACTAGTTTAGGTATCTTGATTGCCTATTATGAATAACAATTCGGAACGTTAAATCGTTGAAACTATTTTCAATTTCGAGTTTAATTATTTCGCAAATTTTCAAATATATAAGCATTCTAGATCACGCCTGAAAATTAAGAAAAAGCTATCCAAAATATATTAAACTTTAACCATTATTGGCCAATGCAAATTACGCCTGAAAATGAAGAAAAAGCTATTCAAAATGTATCAAAAAACGAATGAACATTTTATTTAGAAATTGGCAAAAGAACAGGTCAAAGAATCTATCAACTTATTAATAAGTGGATAAGAAAATTTGTTTTAAAACACAGTATTTCGTATAATAAAGTTTAGCGTCATATAGTTTCTGGTTAACAACTCAAAACGTCGACAAAGTAAACACGTTCATATTTGCCGGAATGGTAACTTACAAAATAACATCTGTTAACGTAACACTTACCTGAAAACTTAACTTTTTGCAAGGCAAATATTAAAAAACAGCACAAAAACCACGAGCAAGCTCTACAAGCCGAAATACTTGAAAATGTTTAAGGTTATGTTTGTTTGGGTGTCAATTGTTGTCAGAAGCGCTGCTACTACCAACGTAAAAACGGTGAAAAGAAGAACAGATTTCTTTAGATGATTTCGGATGGCGCAGGGGGGCATAAAAACTTTTTGAATCTAAATGCCGTCGATCGCAAACGCATACTGCGAGTAAAGTATAATTAAGTTAAATATTCAAAATGTAATTTATTAAAAAAATTATGAAATTTTAGGCGACAAGTGTTTTTAAAACATTCTCAAAAAAGTAAACATTTATTTTTTTAATCTGTCGTTGCCAATACGCCTCCTACAGCGCCTGTAATTTTGAATAAGTTAAATTAATGTTCGATTTGACTTGATTCCTAGCCGGTCAATAATTCTAGAATTCCATGGTTTATGGCCTTCGGAAGGATGCACTGAGATCGAATTCTCGGAGTTTTCCTTTAAATCGAATAATGAGAAGAGCTAAAAACTCCTGATCAGAATTACCGAATATTAACAAATCCGGATTACGGACTACGCAATACAATTGGAATATAATTTTTTGGTTTAGATATAGAAGAATCCGATTTATAGTTCTTTTGTTTCATTTTTGGTTTTCAAAGTTATCACAAATTAGAAATTAACAGTGAAGAACATTTTCAACTGTTCGACTTGTTTGTAATACAGTTTTGCCAAGAAAACTTCTGAAACATATGTAAAAGTACGTATACCGGAATATTGAGGAAACTTGGGAATGCCGCTAGTACCAAGAGCATCAAAAATATTATCTAGTTCTATTTGCTCCAAAAAAAATGTTATGGTAGTCTTCCCCGAACTATAGCAAGACTTAGAAAAATAGATTTTTGTTAGTTATCGTTCAAGCCCTAAACAAGTTAGAGTTGTTTACAACGCAGTCGATTTATGAATACCACAGCAAACCAATCCCCAATAAATTCCAATTTTCAAAATTACTCTTGAAAAATTAAATCAGAAAAATTATAATGTTGCATTGTACATTTAATTTTTGCACGATAACATTAACATGGAATTTTATTCCAATGAGTACCTAATATCCAGCTAAAAAATGTTTTCAAAAACTAATTAAGTCTATTTATAATATACAATATGTACACATTTTTAGCTGCAACTTATATTGGTTTTTTAGTTACAGTTTGGTAATGGTTTTGGATTTGGTACGTAACGTAATTGAATTACATACTTTCGAATTATGAACTATACGCTTATGAAAAGAATCAAATTGATTCGATTAATAGGAGACATAGAAGGTGCTTCATGAGGACGGGGCATTATTTTATCCACTAAATCTATGTTCGAAAATAACCATAATTTGCCATTTGAAAAATTGCCCAAAATGCTTCCCTACTAAATTACAGGGTGTTGAAATTAAATTTAAAAAATAATACATTTTTCAGGGATTAATGGCTAGGAAAGACGCATGTTTTGCAAGAAAATAATTTTGTGAATTTTTGTCACTGGCTGCGTACCTGCACGCTGAATGTGATGAAAAAATGGTACGCCCTTCCTTGTTTTATTACAAATAAAAACCATTTCACATTTTTTTTGCTATTGCAAGTGATTAGGATTCTAAAGTAAAATTTGTGGTAAGTGGACTAAATTGAACACATTTAAATGGAAACCATCATTTGTATTGGAGTGGATAAAACCTGTGCTCATTTCATAAAAAGTCGATAAGTCTGTGGAGAGCGAAGGTTTAATTTTTGAACACTTTTAATTCTGTATTTTTAGTGTTTGGCACTTGCAGGCCGCTTGTCGTAGCAAAAAAATGCAAGATATTTTTTTTTTTAGTTGGATGCAACAAGGAATTTGGAAAGTATTGTAATCATTAAAAAATACAGTGGCGTATCATTTTTCCTTTAACAAATTCGGTAGCGTGCAGGTACGCACGCCGCTTCCAAAATTTAGCAAAGTTAATTTATTGCAAAACATGCGTCTTCCCCAGCTATCATTTTGTATTTTTTAAATTAAATTTCAACACCCTGTAAATTCGTAAGTTTATTTTAAGATCTAGGATAAGTGGTTAAAATAATGCCCCTTCCTCAAACACTTTGTTGAATTACAGGCGAGAGAGAAGTCAAATGGAAGTTTCCTGATATATAAAAGCGACCGAATACTAAACCTTTCTTCGGTAATTATGTGATTTTTGTGTTTTACCAGCGAATAGAAACTAAACCAACAAGAGAAGACGAAATAAGCGTCAAACAATAATTTACTGATATAAAATGGTGGCGAAATACAACAACAATTTTTTGTAGCTAATAATTCGCATTTTGCATTTTCATGTGTCGACCGACAACATAGAAGCAAATAATTTGCCGATAGAACTTTACTAAATTAAATTACTGCTTCCAGTAATAACAACAAATATACTTAGTTAATGTTTAATATAAACAATTATCAGTCTCAAGTTACCCTGAAGAAAACAACTGCCAGATTCGGTTTATTTTTTGCATTAAAAAAGTAGGAAAATGCATGGATAATACTTACAACAATCGGCAAAACTGATACAAAGCGAAAATATCGATTACCGAAAGATGTACAAGATAACCTTAAGTTCGGAAAAAGTAAAAATAACCTTTGGTAACAGTTTTGTAAGCAATAATTACAAATTAACAAAAAAGTTTGACATATTTTACGTTCTTTATTATTAACCCGCTTTCATGGGGTAATTAACAATTGTATGATAACATTTTGAAGGTCAATTGAGATTTGGATCACACCATTGCATTGTCAGCAGGAGAGTGCGGCCCATGAATTGCTTCCCTTAAAAAATTTATTAGGTATATTATATAATATTATTCGTTTCGTATGCAGCATTCGAAGTTAAATATAAGATGGAAGAAACAGTGTATAGGGATGACTCCTGCAATATCGCGAGCATCAAGGAAAGGTAATAACATATGGATCTATCTTTGTCATACCGGTCATAAGTCATACCTGCAGTGCTTCTCGGTTTACATATGATATTTTCAGGGTGAAATAGGGATGGGAGAAAAACATTCTATTCTATTCGCAAACATCGATGTAATTCGTTCGATGTTCGACATTTTTACCATCGATGTTGGAAATTTGGGACATCGATAAAAGATCGATGTTAGACTCTGAAATGAAAACATCGGACATTTGATGTTGATACTACATAGAAACATTTTCTATGAACTCTTTGATAGTGCCGATACAAACGATATCGCAGCATAGCGGCCCATTTCCAGCTGCACCCGAAAAAAGCCTTTTTTTGCGGTCGGTTGACCGAAAAATGTGGCAACTATAAGTTGGATAAATTTAGTCGATTATTTAATGTCATAGTAGTAGTAAAATAAAATTATTAATATATAAGTTAATCAATTTGAAATTTGTATGCAACGGCAAACTATCAGAACATCGATGTTCTGGCTCCGATGTTTCCTTAACATCGATATTACCTTTCGATGTCAACAACGATGGCTACCATCGATATTATATGATCGATGTCCCATCCCTAGGGTGAAATTAAAAAATCTACAAGTCAAGTTGCGAACTCTTAACGGCTGAATAAGCAATTGTGTGTGGCAATTGCAGTTTGTTGATCGAAATATGACCCTTGCTTGAAATTAGATTAGGAACATTCTAGTGTATCTATTTCAAGGTACCTACATCAAATCGAATTCAGAATGACTTAATTTCTGCCATTTCGCCTGTTGTATCAAACCAAATAAAGAAGGAAATCATACAGACACGATTCCTTGCAATTATTTTAGTTGAAACTACTGATGTTACGAATTTTAGTCAACTGTCTGTTATTATATTGGATTCTGTGTAAAAAAATTGATTGAAATTTTGAGCCAAACAGAAAACGCATACGCACTGATAATGTTGGAGATATTGTAACTTCTTAACGCCGATTGTTTTTTCAAATTTTCGATTTAATGTATCAAGAAATGGAGAACAGGTTCAAGAATTTTGGGGATGTAAATTTTCTCGTTAAGTGTAATTTTAATACGGCAAAAGAAACATAATTTCCGGAAAAGCAATTAAAATATTTGATTCGTAATTATGGACAATATTTTGATATGATTTTCGGATGTCCGGAACTAACTGCTTTGTATTAGACTCAATACATTGAGAGATGTAAATATATAATATATTGAGAGAAAATAATGCCAGTGAGTTATTAACATCTCGTTAGGAAAATGTCGCAACATCCCCGTTTCTACAACGACATTATAGACAAGTTTTGCGAAAAATGATAGAAGAATCCAATTGCATTATAAATTGGTGAAGGTTTATAAATTGCTTCCCTTCTTGTAAATTTCACCGCACGCCCCTGATTGACTGCAATGTAAGGAGAAAATAGCTTAATTTAATTCGATTAAATACTTCAAATCACTATTTCGACTATGATCAATACAAGATAACAATAATTCCCCGGTTATGGAAACTCGCTTAATTCGATACCTAGGTAAGGTGGAGTGGGGTAAGTGCACCCCAGTTTTTAGTAAGTTTGGCTTTCAACCCATATGTCTTTAATTTGTTTTATATTACTTTAACCTATATTTAAATCAACGAATATTTGAGTTAATACGCTTCAATTAACATTGAAAAAAACGCCAATTTCACTTGCATATTTTATATTTTTAATAAAATTGTAAAAAATCGAACACCTATGCACTTTCCCCGAAAATGGGGCAAGTGCATAACTGGCTATTAACAGGGATTTGAAACCTTATATCATATGATACAAGGCAAGAGCATAACTATTGATATGTTTACTTGAAAATGCTTTTTACCGAATTCAAATATTTTGATTCGTTTTGGAGTAAAAAGTAAAAAAAAATTGATATTTTTGAACAAATTTATTATTTAATCCGAATCCGGACAACGTTCACATTCATATAGTCGTTTTTTAGAACCTTTGTTGCATGTTCCACACACCCACTGCATACAAGTTACGCACTGGATCCAATCTTTCTTCTTAGTGTAATATGGAAAATCGCACGTACAGATCGAACATACATTTGTATTAATATCGTTTGATGAAGT